GATAAAATATGTATGTTAATTTATACAACTAATTAATACATATTACATTTTTTTTAATTTGTTCTTAAATTTAAAAAAACTACTCCTAGATGGTAAAAATACAGAATGACAAACGATAGATTGTTGAGGATTCATCTTCAAATACCACAACACACCATGGCTATAAATGCAGTCTATTTCAGTTTTACTGCGTTTCATTTGGGCTGAATCATATTTGGCATCTGACAATTCACTAGTGACTGTTATACAGCACTTGGAAGAAAAGATCCACAAAACAGAAACAGTGATTTCTCTTGGAAACAGTGAAAGCTAAACACAGTTAATTTCTAACTGGCCTGGACAGAGATGATGAGGAAACACCCGCAGTCTTAAATCATTTTTCCATCTGGCGTGAAGTCAAGTTCACATGAGTTTCACTTCAGCGTAGTAGCCTGTATTTCATAAAGATTCACCAAGCTAATAACCCACATGTCCACAGTGCCAGGACAAAGCGCTTCCTCCCTGTCTGTTAGTCCGAACTATCGTTTTCATTTTACATGGTGAGTCAAAGGATATGAGCCGCATAAAGAGAAGCAGCTGGAGCCCAGCAGTGGCAGAGGTGAAGAAAATAAATTATAACAAAATGCTGGACAGAGAAAAGTCCAGCAAACATGTGGATTTTGGAAAATGTTAAAAGAAAAGAAAGAAAGTTTCAGATTTTCACTAAAAGAAAGTTTAAAAAAAGTTACTTGGGGTCTATTCAATATATTTGAAATGTAATTTGTCAAGATTTTTGTTGGGGTCCTAGGGTTAAGTGGGGCTTGAAAATCTCCAAAAAAAAAAACAAAACATTGCCCTAGTGCATACATGTCAAACTGAAGGCCTGGGGGCCAAATGCGGCCCGCCCAGCCATTTTGTGTGGCATAAAAAGAATTTAGTAAAGTCCATGCAGCAGAGTTTCTTGACCTGAGAAATTAAATCCTTTTTTAATCAATCAAATAATAATCAATTGCAGAAACATGTACCACCAGCCAGTACCACCCGTTACTACAGACCAGTACCAAGGTGCTGAACATTGAAGGATCATTCAATTTTCAAAATAAAATCCTTTAGGCTCTATTTTGTTTGTATCTGTATGACCTGTTATTTCAAAATTATTATGATTATCTTTAACTAAAGAAAGTAAATGGATTTGACTGAATTTTCTTTGAATGAAGTAAATTAGTAAAAATTAAGTGCATTTTTCCACAGTGTCCCACTGCAGCCCAGTATCAAATGACCTATGGACTGGTACTGGTCCGCGGACCGGGGTTTGGGGGTTCCATTTACAACTGTACCCTTCGAGGGGAACTGTATTGATGATGTGGCCCCTGGTGAAAATGAGTTTGACACCCCTGCCCTAGTGGAACTAGGGGTCTTTTAAAAGCAGCAGCTTGTTGTTAGGCTCTGGACCTTTGAGGAGATCAGTGAGACTGACAAAGGTATGGTTTCAACAAGGGTTGGACCAATGACCTTCATGCTGTGAAGCGACACCCCAATCACTACACTACTGTGTGTTTCTTAAAGTCAATCGGTGCCTAAGTCTACTGCTACTAAGTCCAGTGGTTGTTGTAGTCACTAATGATATAACCTCACAGCACGTTGATTAAAGTACACTCTTGATAAGGTTTATTAATAGTAACTGCTCACATGACAACACACATGCACATAAGGCTGTTAAGGATTTTTTATTCCTTACCCTAACATGCTGTACACCTGCTGTGTAAGTTAATGAGGGCTAGAGAATTTTGTTAGTTACACTTAACTGAATCTGACACTAATGTAAGTTGATGCATGGACGGTTTAAAAATACAAGGCTCTGCAGCGGCAGCTCTGTTTGGCAGAACAGTGTATGGTCAAAAAGAACAAAAGATTTTTTTACTTTTTACAAAATCGCATTTTCAGGATCCCTAGACACGGCCGTGTGTCTTTTTCAATTTTGGCTGTCCCGGTGCTGCATTATCTAAATCCTCCTTCTGCAGCTATCTATCAAGAGACACAATAGACTGTAAGAAACAAAAACAATATCAGTGAGGAAAAAATTGCACTCTTTTAAATGCCTTGAATTTCTCCACGCATTTTAAAGAGTTCACATGTTGTATGATGTCACTGCCACCATCCCTAAAATCGAGTGCTGTGTTAGTTTGTTTCACTGCCAGTGGGTTTTTGGGAGAGCCTTCCAAAGAGCCGCAGCTGGATGTAATTTGAATTACACTGTGACATGAAGGTCCAAAGTGAACTGGAGTGCATCCCAAACAGTTTTCATGTTAGATTTTCAGCTATGTTGCGTTTTCTGAGTCTGAGTGAGTGAGTCAGAAATTTGGTGGCAATATTGGGAAGTGATTTCACACATTAAATGGTACAAACTACTGTTTATCTGAGGATTGGTGCACTTGTAGTATAGTTTAAATGACACTTCCCAATTATTATTTTTTTTTAGATTGTACTCATTAGTCCAAGACTGCAACAGTATATCTCATTGAATATTCAGTGCTATTTTACAAAAGTGGGGCAAATACAAAATTATTAAAATAACTGCCCAAACCCTGTAATAATTATGTGCCGACCATCGTGTGAAACACTAGTTCAAATTAAACATTTATTATGTTTTAAAGCCTTAAAATCTAACCCCTCGTGACAGTAAAACAATTGAAGTTTCACGTTCAACTTCATTTTTATTTCAGTGTACAGTACTGTTTCTGTTTTGAAAATCCACACAAACAAGTTTCAGTCCATCCTGACATCTTAGACCTTTACAATCCTTATCTACTTCCCAGTATTCTCCAGACTGAAATTGAATTTTTTTATTCTCTGCAGTACACATACAGTCTCTCATACACACACACACACACGCACACACACGGTGCCCTTTCATAGGAAGTCTTTGTAAGATTGATCTGTGTAGTTTTGTGCAGCTCTGCCTCAGTCACCTGCCTCTGCTCTGCTCATTTGTGATGTATGATCTCCACCTTCAGCCGCCTGGATCTCTCACTTCTTGTTCAGAGCGAACCAGTAAACTTTGGTTCTTTTTCACCAACTCTGTTTTTTTAAAACTATGAAGTCATTCTAACTTACATAATCCCAGTAATACTTTTTCTATGATTAGTTCGAACTGTTTGTTTTCATGTGCAATCAGGAAAGAGCCAGTGTTTACTCGTTCTCACTCCTCGTCTATTTATCATGTTAGGCTTTGGGTTTCAATGAGGCTCTGATTAATAGTTTTATAAAGACCAAAAACAGTGACTTCATTTAATTTCACACAGGAAAATGGACACATCCCTGATTAGTGCTTTGCCTTTCAATTGTATTACAAAATCATCAATAAAAATGTACCTACATGGGTTTTTTACAAGTTCTCAATTTAAAGTAGATAATAAAACATAACTGGAGGTGACGCCTTTAAGTCGTATTAGATGATATTGTTGTGCTTTATCCCTTTAATTACACTAATTGGAAATACAATTTAAATGATTACATTTATGTGGAGGAGCTGAAACCTCTTGTTGGTGACCAAAATTGCTCTAGGAAAGTGTATAGTGACACAACATCATTTGACAGTGGCTGCATTGCCATGTGAACCTATGTTTATGTTGATTAATTCATTAAACCTTTGCTCAAGGAAAATGTGTTTGCAACCAAATAGCCTAGTCCAGTCTTAAATCTGATGTACGTTTTATTCTAAGTTTTTGCATCTAATTTAGATAACAGTTGGACCACATCAGTGATCTGCTCCTATTATTGATAAAACCAGAGGCCTCACTTCTATAGACACTGAATATTAGAAAACTATTAAGGTAAACAAAAACCTTTTTACTTTTATTTCATTTTTCTATTTAGATTTTATATAAATATAAAACAAATTAACCTTAAACAGAACGTACATTATATTGTCTGGTTCAACCTTAGGGATGTTGTCCTTCAGAAGACATAGAACAGGACATGTCATATGTAAGGTCCTCTGTGCTGAGCACACAAACCATAAACACAACACCCTTAAATCAGTGCTCCTCATAAATACTGACAAGTGGCTCCTTCCTGCCTTTAGAGAGCTCATAATTAAGGACCCACTGCCTTTGTAGGCAGATGTTTGTAAAGCAAACACGGAGGGGAACTTTGTAGTTTGGGAGGCACGTGGCAGTGCAGTATGGTTGTTGTCCATGATGTAATATCAGGGCTGGTGCACGGCTCCATGTGGAACAGTTTAAAGCCGCTGGTTGTTATGCTACATCCACAATGTCTTTAACAGATGTTTACTCCCCAAACTACAAAGGGATGCGTAAGGTTTCATCCATTTTCTCAGCAAGGTCTTTCTTCAAAGTTGTAAAGCGACACCGATGTTAATTCTCATTTCATTTTATTTCTAAAATCCTATTTTAACATTTCACCGTGTCAAAAGCGGGTTGACAAAGAATATCAATTGGTAGAAAACCGTTTTATTGTTTTGAGCTAAATTTTATTTTCCACAGAATTGCCAATAAATACTCACACAACAATATAATGGAAATAAACAATCTTTATTTAGTAAGACACAAGATGAGCCGTAAAGACAGCTGTCACACAGAAATTGTGTATTTATTTTTGAAGTCACCAAGTGCTGCCTGCAGTCTTAGACATCACACATACAGTATCTTACATGTTAAGAATAGACATATGCTGCTTACATTACAAACTATATATATATATATATATGTGTGTGTGTGTGTATATGAATACATATTAAGGTGTACTGCAAAAGCAGCACTCACAGTATTTACTTATATGTACTTATAATGATACACTGTACATTTTAAAGACTATAACTGGCTGTGCGGCACACCACATCCAAACCTTTGTATTGAAACTGCAAGAACTGTGCAAAGTTTGCAGTCTGGCAAAAACTAACAAAGCAAAACCAGTCCAACTGTAAACATTTTCAGATATGTTTCCTCAACATTAATCTAGAGGGTTAGACAAGACATTTGCTCATATTATTTATTTGACTATTGAGCTTCATAAACTTCACAAGTTATATGGTAATGTGTCTAAGAGAGGATAAACATTTTATGTACAGTGAGTTACTTACATTTAAGTTTTGAAAAGGTACAGTTATTTGATTTAAAAAAAGAAAACAATTGTGGTGAAAATCTGCACTGTCGCTGTTGATGAACACACTGATCGGAATGATCCTGCATGATGACAAAAGGGCGATTCCTTCGAAACACTGATCACATACCACAAGTAGCAATTTGCTGTACTTTCAAGTGAGATGATTACAAAGGTGGCGTTTTTTTGTAACATGCAATTTGTGACAGTGTTCAAAAATCCCAACAGTCTGTTATTTGGTTGAATTTCACATGTAAGCAGATAATCAAAGTACTTTTTTTAGCCTCTGTAAAGCAAAACAACTTTTGGTAACAAACTGTGTTCAAATCTTCTAAAAAGTCACTTAACCAAAAACAAAACCATTTTATTTACTTTCTTTTTCACATTTCTTTTCCGACATTTAAAAGTATGTCAAGAAAACATTCAAAATGTATGTCCAACTTAAATATACAATATGCTGCTGGCCTCATTGACAAATTAGTTCTTCACATTTACACATTGAAACTCTGTTAGAGGCCTTCGGGCCACAAACATTTTGTGCAGTATAATGACAGGCAAACTGGCCCGTTGGTCTTTAGAGCAGTATACATTAACTGTTATAATTAGCTCTACTGTATGGCAGGAACAGCAGGAACCCTGTGGTGGTACAATCAGCATGTGGTATAGTTTGACATATTTTAGTGAAATGTATTTTTAAGCAAATTTAACAAAGCCTTAGTAAATCACATTTGTTTTGGATTTTTAATTAAATTTGTAAAACAAGCCCCAGAGGACTAAGAGAACACTTCTTCAAAGTTAAAGCTCTGATTACTCTCTTTAAACATTGGCTTTTGACTAATTTAAGTAATCCTCTATTTGGCAGATAGATCGCAAATGCATTTTGCTGCCAGAAATTCTAGTAAGTTTGTTACAAATCACAGCAAGCCCTGAGATAATTCTAGGTTGTGTTACACAGAAAATGTTCAACGTTTACCCGCAGTTTTTCACTGACTCAGAGGGCAGTTTTGTTTCCAGTCCACTGACTGCCCCCGGTACATGATGATTCCATCATGTTAAACAGCTGGACTCATTAAAGGCTTGTTTCCTTTGAACTGGGAAACAGGAATTTTGCCAGTTCCCAGGAACTCCAATTGTATTTAAAGAGTAGAGAGGACCTCCCCAACATTTGACCTCACAATCCACGATGGAGATCTGCCCTTCCACAGTTTGACAAAAACATCAATAAAATGTTTTACTGTCTCAATACTAAAGTTTCCTAATGGAATTCCTAATGAAACAACCACAAAGTAATGAAAAAGATATTGAACTACCAAAAGAGACTGGGATGACTGAGAATTCCAAAACTGAAAGATAAAAACCAGCAAAACCAGCCATATGCATGAGCGATCATGTGATGTGATCATGTGACAACAGTTGGATTAGAGTCACATTAAATGTTGATTCTCATAATGAATCTGAATCATCAAACCTGATCTAAATCTGAATTTATTTAGAATTTAGGAACCATTTTTGACCATACCTAACAGATTTCCATAATAATTAAAAAGTCTATTCGCCACCTCTCTCCTTTATATGATTAACCATAAAACTAAAAATAAGACCATGGCTAAGGACTATGTTTGTGAAAACGTGAACTTCATTTAATTCTCCAATAATTTCCAAAGAGGAATCCTGGAAAACCCATGACATTTTATTGCCGCCATGAGGGAGCTTTTGGTTTGCATCTCTTGATTTCAGCAGCAGCCATAACTCAAAGTTAAGGGTGGGTCGGAATCAAAATTTGGTGAGAGGGGAGGACTCAAGGTTATTGACCAAAGAAGTGATCAGGTTTTGGCACAGCTTTTGAAAGACTCAATGTTGGTTATTTGAAACACAGTACCAAAATTGGTCCAGTGGCTGTTTCTTATAATCCGTAGAATTCAAAAAGTGAAGGTTTATTTAACAGGGCTGTGGTTGTGATCCAAACGGAAGAAATTATGAAATTTTCAGGGTAATCTGGATTTTATCCGTTGTGTATCCAGAAGTGATTCAGGCACAGTGGAAAACAGTCCAGAGGTCTGCACTGTTTCACTCCTTTTCAATCATTTCTGAACAATCTAAGAAATGTACTGCACTAAAACCATATATATTTCACAATTTTAATGCCCGTGCATGAAAATTATATTTATCTTCTTTACTTTCCAGGACGTTGCATAAATTATCAGGACACTGTTGACCTGTAAAGTCACCTGTTGCTTGTGATCAAGTTAGGGCACAGTCAGATAGTCCTGGGAACTGTTCTATTCTTAAAACTTCAAGTACTCGTTTCTCAGTCTACTCAGTCTTGTGCCATGGCTGCGGATGATTAGGGACAGTAGCTCGTGTTTGTCCTTCAGGCCCTGAGAGATGTCCATCGTCTCCTTCAGGACGTCCCGTGTCTGCACGACCATGGTAAGAAAGTCGTCGCTGAGCCGGTGCTCCTCTTTCAGCTCCCCTTCCTGACTCTGCTTGAATTTCACCTCCAGCTCCAGCAGAGATTTCTCCGAGTTCGTGAACGCCTCGCTGATCTGAGTTGTCTCCCGGCGCAGATACTTTCCGTAGCTGTCCTCTCCGTCCAGGTCGAAAGAGATGCTCTTTCCGATCCCCTCCAGCACCCGTGCCGAGTCCTCGATCTGCCGCTTGATGATGGTGAAATCCTCCCGTATCAGGAGGTCCTGGTCCTCGTCACCGCCGCACTTTCGTTCGTCGGTGACTTTAAAAAGCATCTGACAATGCTCCGGGTCGTCGTTTTCCTCGTAGTCTCCGTCCGGCACGAAATAATGATGGAAAGTGCCGTTGGACATCTCCGGCTGTAATGGTCCACTGTAATAAGACCCGCACCTCGGCAGAGACTGCAACATCATCCCGGCACAGAGGAGCAAGTGAAGAAACAGCATGGTGTCCGCAGTGTCCGCACCGCAAACAAAAAAAAAAAAAAAAAAAAAAAAAAAAAAAAAAAAAAAAAAAAGAAAGAAAGAAAAACTCTAACGGGAAATCAAAGTTAAAATGAACAATCAGCCCGGGTGTCACCAAGAAGGACTGTTTAATTCCAAGCCGCTGATGAAGCCCGTCAACATGTCAATGGGATTTAAAAGGTCCAAGCAGAGCAGTAACTCAGAGCTAAAAATGAGCTTTAAAGTCGTCCACAAGAACTTCTCCTTGAGCCGTAAAAGTTTCCAGCAACCACCGTTAGTCAACCCCCATCACTGAAGGTGTAATTGAATAAGGAGAAAGGTCTAACTTTTGGAGACTGACTTCACACGGTGCTTCAAACGCAACATCTGGGTGTCTCGGGTACCGCCTCTGACTTTTTGGCTAATAATACCTCCATGCTCCTCTCATATTACACCCACCGACCCCCACCTCCTCCACCACCCACCACCCCTCTGTCGTCTCTTAAAGGCCGTATTCAGTTTGGACCATGCTGCAGTCAGTCTGCCGTGCCTTCACAGCCACAGCCTCAGTCACACCACACAACAACCCAGTCAGTTTGTGTTTATGGTGACAAGTCGGCGCCTGTCAGGGCCGAGGCTAGGAAATTTCGGACCCCATAAAATGTGGAGCGAAAAGGTTGATCAGTTCCCCATATATAAATGTTGGATGAAAATAATGTGTACTAATGTGTAGAAAATAATTTACAATGTGGTTTAGAACCTGTCCTTACATTAAACCTAAGCAAAGTACTGTATATAAGAGGAAGTCTGCAAAAATGGCAAAAAAAAAGAGAGATAGCTATGCCTTCAAAACAGCTAGAAATTAGTTGAAATATATTCTGATTTAACCCCTACAGTAAAGAACAATGTATGAAGAAAAACAAAGAAAATATGATCATAAATAGTACGGTTTGCAAAAAGCTCATGCAATGAGGAGGATAAACATGATAGAAATAAAGGAAATTAAAAACTTAGAGGGCCTCTGCAGACAAGGGAAAACAAAATTCTACAAAAAAAGTTGGCAAACCTCTGTTTTTCAGAAAAAACTGGGTAAACAACATTAACTATCTTTCTTCCTTTTCCAAATTTTCATGCCTAATGCATTCTTATAGTAACACAAATATAGCTACTCATAATATACAGTTATGAAACCATATAATGCTAAGTTAAGGTAATGTAAAAATTAGTTTCTTTAAGATTTGATAAACTTGGTATCAAATGAAAAGCTGAATTCCCTTTGTAAGGAAAGTTGTCACCTGTTGAATAATGTGACCTGGAACTCGTGGCTAGATTTTGACCTAGAATTCCTTTGTATGTTCCAAGAACTAACACTCAAGAAGTGAGCTAATTCCCTAACCCACACTTTTGCTCAACATGTGCATATCTTTCCAGTAGAAACAGCAGACATTACACCATTACCTACCTCCGAGGAGCTCTGCACTCATTTTTCCAATGGCTGAGTGATTATTCAAGGTTGTGACCACATAAATTTTTCTCAGCCGGAACATTTTGAATGGCAAACATGCATAGTAAAAACAGGTTAATCATCTGATTTATTGTTTTAATAAAATATATTATTGCAGAGGCTGGAAGGGAGCGGCCGTGTTGCATAATCGTCTTTTAGGACAAAGTCTGCAGTTTACATTAGTGTCATTCGGAATGCAGAATAACAAGTAACTGCATGTCTGATCTGAGAATTGGATGGTTTACTTCTGCAGAACAATGAGTCCAGTTCACAGGACAATTTGCAATATGATACAAATTTAAATTCCTCATTCATAGCATAAAACCTTAGAACCGTAGATGTACAGTATGATTCAGCCGGCTGTTATTCTCTCATGACTCACAACAGTGACATATAAGATATACTTCCTCTATCATTCCTAGTTGTCCTGGTGTAATTTATTGATTTATCATAACAATGAGGAACTTAAAATCTGGTCTTTGTACTTAAACACATGGACTGTTTGGAAAAACGTGTTTCCTTCAGGGATTTGTTTGATCTACCCTTTTTTATTACTTTTTACAATGTGTAAAGGGCTTAGAAGGAGTAATAACTTAACATCTAAACAACATTTTATTTGTGTGTAACTGAAATTCCGCACTCTAATAAGGTACTATAATTATAAGATATTTGATAGGACAAGATGATTACAAGATGATTACAACTACCATAGAAACCTCCTGAGGGAAAAAGATATGATCCTTGCAATAAAAAATATTTAAATACATTCAAATTGTTATAGCTCACAGATAATGAATTACTTACTGACATTTGTTGCAGGCATGAACAAGGTAAGTATGCCTGAGGCTAGACAGAGTTACTGCAGGAGAACACTGGAGTACATGAAGAAAACCCATACACCCTGTCTTGCTGTAGGACAAAGGTACCAACTACCTTTTACTACCATGTGTTCTTTTAATTTAATGTGTTTCTTTGTACATTGTACATATATTGTTAGTTTATATCCCTTTCCCTTGTAAATATCTCCTTTATTATATTCTTGCCATTTTGCACCGTGGGTCTGAGAGGGCTGCAATTGCATTGTGCCATATGTCCTGTATGTATGGCATATTTGACAATAAAGTTGACTTTGACTTAATAGGGGAAGGTCATGTGTTGTTTTAAGTTGCAATGAAATACTAATTAGTAGTTTACTTACAGTACTTGCATAAGTTATCCATTTTATTGCTCAAATAACACTTATATTGCATACTTTTCATGCACACGCTGCAAGTATAAGCTTGGGTTCACGCCCAACATGCATTTGTGGAGGTTTCACCTTCAGATCAGATGCCTGGCGTGCGTCAAACTCACTGAGCTTAGTGACGTAGTTAAAAAAGTATGGCTGACAAGCTGACTGACACAAAGGTCAAATCGATTTTCAGGCAACTGCAAACTTTTTATTTAAAAAAACAAAGTTTGAAGTGATAAAATAGACTGTATAATGAAATATACAAATTAATAAAAAGTATTTTTGAAAATGTAAGGTATTATTTAATATATATGCAATATTGCATACAACATGGTTTTGTTATGTAATATTTTCTTATAATATATAATATATATAATATACTAATATTATCGAGCAACAGCTTCATTGATGCTTTGAAAACACTATTAATAAAATAATATAACATACTATAATATAATACAGCACATTAGAATAAAATATATTTTAAAAAGCGCCATTACAAAGTAGTAATTCATATTAATTAGATGTATGCGATTATATGGGTTATTTATTTAATTTATCTCGAGTGTTGTATCTTTTGAAAAAGATTTAAAAAATTTTAAAAAACAAAATGATTATCTTCTGTGACTAACTGTCGCCACGTCTAATAGCTGCTTCAAGGCTTGTTGGCACCAGTTAGAAGAGCACGATGACGAGGATCCAACATGCTGTGCTTGTACTGAGGCAGTGACCTTTCACCCACTTTTTCCTGTTAACAGAAACACTTCCACAGAGACGTTTGCGTTGACGGACGCGTCGCTGGAGGAGGAACTACTCAGGTAACACGCTAGGCACTGACTGGCGTTTGACCGTCTGCTCTATGGACTTTAATGCATGACCATTTAAAGGAGGCATAATGTGGTCAGCTGTTATTTTACTTTTATGAATTGTTAGCAAGAAGCTATTTTTACACGGGTGCTAATTGCTAACCAAACCGTTCTGCGACTCATTGTCAGAGCGATGATTAAACAGCCCCTGAATGCATCGTATCTTTGAAAATCGTGACATGTGTCATGTAGGTGTTTCGTTGTTGTATTTCGATTGTGATAATGGATATAAAACTGAAAGATTGTTTTAAAAAAATGAGTTATAGCTGTGTAACACTTACTTTGAACACAACATGTATTTTAATTCAAACGCTTCTTAGACAATAAAGTGACACTTTCTGTCACAGACACTAGAAGACCAAGCTCACACTCACACAGCCTGAGCATGTTGTTAGATTTTACAGTCAAGTACTTTACAGTGATGGGAGAAGGCTCCAATCTTGGTTAACCAAGGGGGAGCCACGAGAGTCATTCAGGACGTTTCTTCAGACAATGAGAATTCAGGTGATGAAAGGCCTTCTTGTTATCTGTCTTTACCCACTGCGCTTATTACTTTGCAAAAGTGTGTAGACTTAATAGTAATAATTTAGTTTTTATTGGATATATTAATTCAATACAAGAGGAAAAAGAGAGGTCCTGTCTTTTTTCTTGAATTACTACAAAAAAATATAAACTGTAGATATTGTTATGCAGACCTACTGCACAAACTTGTATTTCTCGATATACTGGAACCCATTTTCATTTAGTACCTCATTCCAGTGTCGAGTCACTACAATTTGAAAGGGTTTTGAAAGTCATTGACCTGAATATTTTGTATTCTTTGCCTTTTTCAGTTGCTACAGGTTTGGTTGGCCTTCCTGTCCTAAAGACATTTACCCAGCTGTAATCCTTCTGAAATGTGGATGAGCACATTTGCACGTTTTGCCACACGAGCCTTGAGCAGGGCCATGGCCTGTCAGGCTCTGAGGCCTCACTGCCGACCAGGAAAGAATCCAGGTCATCTGCCCTCATGTTTGACTTCTGTACAGCACCGGGGACTGCAGTCTGTGGTCCTGGCCTCCCAGCATGCTTCTCATCAAGTAGTCAGTCATGTCAGGTCTTTGGATGAGGAGAGACTGTTGGAGGTGGAATGGGAGGACGGTGGTCAGAGTCTTTACCCATTCACCTGGTTGAGAGACAACTGCCAGTGTCCACTGTGTACTCTGCAGTCAGCTCAAGCCCGGGAGTTGTTGATGTGTGATTTGGATATTCACACAGGGGTTGACACCGTAAAAGTCACCAATGATAACAAGGTTAGCTGAGTAACTGGGTTTTATTTTCTCTGTAATTTGTCCTTTGATTAACACGCTGCATGTGAGCTTTACGGTGGTTGACTAAGGATGCACATTAAGATGCTGCTAAGTAAAGTTGGTAGAAGCAGTTGAAAATTCTACTCACTTTTTTTTTTAACAAAGCGTTCCAGAAAAGTTAGTACAGTTTGAATGAATTAATTTCCATTTAATTCTGTAATTTGATCATGTAAATGAATGTATATCAATCTGAAATTGGTTGACTAACCAACATAACTGTATGGGTGTTAAAATTTTACAAGGTCCAAAAACTAAAACTTAGTTATGCTTTGAATACCTTTCTGTTTCAGGTATCTGTTGTATGGCCGGATCAGCACACAAGTGTTTTCGACCCAGAATGGCTGAAAAAACGTTGTTTCTCTTCTGCTGCCAGACAGTCTATGCGAGAAGAGCTGTTTCTAAACGGTGAGCCTGACTTTTGATATTTTTTTAACCATAGTGAACTGCATTTAACAATTTTTTTTTCTATCTCTACTAAGCATTTTTACAGAGATCAGATGATAGAATGATTCCCTGTAACATTGTTGGTTTATCCTGGCATACATTTATAACTTTTGACAGTTAATTTGAAGTGTTACAGTACTGACTGTTTGCTGCAAAATATGTTTTGTATGGTACCCGCTCTGATACCAAAAAACTTTTCTAACCCAAAACTCAGATTATATCACCATAATAATAGAATTCTAAAACAAATTAGTGTGTCTACAGCCCATCATGCTTGTTCTGTGATAAAAGCATCTGCACAGAGCATGTCGCAAATCACATTTTCCGTTCATCCAGTTTGCTGGCAAATCATGTTGGTTGTCATACCACATTCTGTTGAACAGACTCACTGCACTGTTTACTGTAAGTGATCATCACAGATCTACAGATCCCAATACAGTGAGCCCTGTCTTGCCTTTTCTTTTCTAGTTGTGATCTTGATAATCACAAGAAAATCAGTTTCTCTGCTTGTTCTCTGAGCAATCTGACACAACAAAGGATCTCTAAGACTTTCACAGCACCTCCCAGAGGATAGAAGCTACTGCTAGTGCTAAAATGGATATATAAAATATCCATATACAAATAGCACCAGTGTTTTCTATTGTAAAGTGTTCCCACATTTTTAAACGTTCTGCCTTTTAGTCATTGTCTGAAATGTATGTTTTACCCATGTGTATTATGACGATCCTTATATCATATCTGCCACAATAAGAATCCATATGAAACAGAGCAGAAGAAATGGTACACAATGTATTAATTAGTTTCCTTAATTGATTCGAGTTGATTAGTCATTCCATTGGTTTACTTTAATCTAAGGGATCTCCACTAGTCATCTGAATTACATGTGTTTCTGTTCCTTTTTCTTCATCTTCTTGGGTTGAATCTCAGTCCTAAAGTCAGTCCATGTCCAGCCTTTTCAGAGCTTTAACTGCATTGTGCATCTATCCTTTTGCTCTTAGCCCTTTTGGAACTGTGTTCATCTACTGTAATGCCGAAAATATTCTTGTTCTCATGAAAACTCCATGATGTCAAACCAGCAGGTTGCTTATATTGAGGAGCTGAGGACACATTAGTGTCTCTGTGGTTCAGTTTATAGAGCACAGTGAGTTCTGCTGTTCTAAAAAAAAGGGCTGATAGCTTTTCCAGACTGTGAATAATTATGTCTGACATGATAGGCAAGAGAAAGAAAGGTTAGGCCTTCATCTCTTCCCAATGTTTGCATTTCCTCAATCCGTCCATCTATCCATTTGCTCCTACTCAGTGCTCCCTAATTTCTCTCTTTTTTTTTAACAAAAACAAAACAAATAAATTGTTTAGCATTGCTGGAAAAACAGAACATTCTCTTACATCTAAAATGTCTAATTCAGGTGCATTTACATAGGCTGTATATAGTTAGTTGTACTCAAACATATTACTGCAAAATGCTCCATTTTGTCCATTATGCCATTAGACAGCAGCTTTGTGTCTGTGAGTCTTTCTACAAAAAAAGTAAACCTCAAATAATCTCCTTCTTTCCACACAATTCCACATTTCTTTTCCATAATCAACTTTTTTCTACACACAAGAATGAGAACTTATATTTCAGTAAATGTAAAATGACCCAAACGTCTAAGTCTGCCAAACAGCAGAGGAGGAAGTCCAAGAGTGGAAAAAGGTATAGCGGTACTTGACTGGAGCGGGGGGCTGGACTATAGTCGGTTTGTGTACACACACGTGGTCCTGTAGGACCCACAGGGTTGAGTGGCTCCTGCTATGTTGGAGACAGATTAAGGGTCTCTTTGTGTGTGTCAGTGTGTCTGTACATCTGTGTTGTTCTTGGAATACTGTAGTGCATGTCCAACTGTAAACATATCCCTCTTATAGCAGTTGACAGGCAGGTCACCGGGACGATGACGTGAGGATCACACTCACACGTGTGCACACACACACACACACACACATACACTTTTCTACTTTAATAATTCTGCCTCAACTGCCAGGGTGAAACTGCGAGCTAAAAAAAATATTAGACTAAATCCGTAAAAAAGATGGATGATTAACAGCTTTATACCCTAAGGATTTTGCTGACATCCTCTCTCTTATTCCCTCTTGGTCGTCTTACAGTAACTTACTGAAGCATGATCCACAGTTTGAATTGCTGTTTCCATTTTCATGCCCTGTACAAAGATTTTACAGGCCTGGGTCTACCTTAGAAATCTCTAAGCAGCGAGAGTAAAGCGATTTTCAACACTCCATGTGTTTAATACTAATTTCAGGGGTTTATTATAATGAAAATTACAAATTTAAATGATGCACAACACTGTTGTGGAACTGCTTAAGATGAAGTCAATTATGAAATGAATGAAAACCTCAATCCAGTACTTCCTAAGTTTGGACATTGAGCCCCACCCTTAACTTACAGTTTATGCTCTAGGATGCTGTAAGGAAACAGTATGAATACAAACATGATTCTGCACAACAGCCAAAACTCAGAGATCGACTTACTCTCTGATTCTGGAACTTAAAAAAAAGGTTTTGAAAGAAAGGCTGCAGACCATTTTTATGTCTGTTTGCCTCATTTTGCTTGTGGAAAACAATGTGAGTGGACCTTGATTCTACATGTTTTGCCAGCAACAGAGAAGTTGTGCTTTAGCTACATGAAGATATATAGCCTAGCTCACAATCACAATCATGTACTATAGGCTCCATCCATGACAACCAACTGAATGACAAGACAATTTAGGCAAAAGGTTTTTAGATAGTGACACAGTTAGATAAAGCACATTAACTTCATTAAAACATATTAAATTCCAGCCCTTGGACCCAGGGGTGAAATTTAGTTACCTTATTTAATCTGTTTTGGCAGTTCTAGTGGGATATGTTTACACGGTTGTTTCTTTGCATTTTTGCAGTTTGTCTTTGCAATTTGACCAAACTAATTAGAGATGCAGTCCATAACGTGGACTAGAATATAAAGAAACAATGACCTTCCCCACTAGATTCTTCCTTTTCTATGTGCCTGTCAAAAAAATGCTCATTCAGATCCTTTTCTGCCTCCACCATATGGAAAAATATTTTAGACTGGAGCTGAGGAAACATTTGCATGTCCTTACCAGGAAAAACACAAGCCCTAACTGTTTTTCCTGAACAAATCCCTGAGCTTGTTTGTATGTATGTGTATCCTAGGAAACATCTAATGTGCTGATATACAGTGGTCACTGTAGCTTTGTTTCTTTGTAATTAGCTTCACATAAAAATCCTTAGCATGTTTTCTTGCAGTTGACGTCCGTATCACTGAAATAGTGTTTTTCCTTCCGTCCTCTCTCTGACTGATATGTTGTTTGTCTGAGATGTTCGTTGTTTCTGACCTTTCCTATTGCAGATGATCAAAGTCTGTCCATATACGTCATTGATTTAAAATTCAAACTACTCCTTTTGAAAAGAATAAGGCTTCACCAGTAAGAATGTGCAATGACTTATTTTTTTCAAATGCAACTCCCAGACAGATTTTATTCTGTGTCCTATTTAATAAAGCCTTTTGTCTAAGATTCATTGTAAAGTTGAAATTTAAGTTGCAAAATCTCAACAAGGGAACACTGGCATGGCATTCTGTCATTATCTTCAGTTTATTATTTGGAGCAAAACCATAAACACTAAATAATGTCACTTATTGGCCTTTCCGATGAAGAGACTTAACTAAGTAAATTAAAACAACTAAAAGAGATTTAAAAAAAAGTTTATTTAAGAATACAAATGTTTAAGACATTGTAAAACACATTGTTGGAAACTATTTCCTCTGGTTTATATGAGGGTAGCCAATGATGACGTCAAAAGTATAATCAGAATTCAGTTCTACTAACAGCAGGCAATCTTTATTTTTTTCTTTTTTTCCTAAACAAACTGATTTCCACCTTCTTGGACAAGCTGATATTTGTTAAAATTTAAAAATATTTGGTCTTTATATGTTTTAAGGTTAATAGTGAATAACTTTGTAATTATAATAACAATACAAATAAGAGCAGTATGAATTAAAAATATAGGAAAAAGTGAAGTAATTTCTTATGACTGACTTTCTAATGACATGACTTAGACATTTATTTTTCCAATTAATGTTTACTAGTCATGTACAGGTAGAGGTTCCTCATTTGCAGGTTGTTAATAACATTGGTGGGTATTGTTAATAAATTAAAAAATATAATTTTTAACTTTGTTTTTTATGTTTTAACATTTTGTAGTTAAAACATATTCACCTTTCTCTGTCTTTACCTTGTTTTAAGTGCCTATATTTTACCTACCACATTTTCCGGACTATAAGTCGCAGTTTTTTTCATCCTTTGGCAGGATTGGGCCTTATACTCAGGTGCAACTTATATATTTAAATATATAATTTCACGTTTGTTAATTTCACACTGACAGCCGCGAAAGGGCACTCTAGACGTTTGTACCAGTATCGGCACTCCTGTACCACTGAAAACTAACACTATTTTCACATTGACAGTTTGCTAGAACGCACCGGTGCGACTTGTACTCTGGACAGACTTACATATGGTTTTTCTTCTTCATTGTACAGTTTTTGGCTGTTGCGACTCATACTCCAGGGTGACTTATAGTCCGGAAAATGGGGTACTTCGAAGTTTTTCTGTTTTGTCTTTCACTTCTTAATAAGTCCCTATATTTTAGTTCTTTGAAAGTCTTTGTTTGACCTCTTACTATTTTTTTTATGTCTGACCTCTTTTCCTGCTTTGTTTCAGCTCTTTCTATTTGTTTTATCTCTTTGTAAAGAGTCCTGTATTCGCCCCACTCGGTGGCAATTCACACGTTTTACATCTTTGTGTTCTGCACCACAAAAAGGTAAAACAGATCACAGCCACCAAAGACTTAAACTACCAAAGTCTTACAGGGCAAGAAATAATACAGTAATAAAGTAATTCCTTTACAATTAGTATCATCATTTTCCAAACAATGTTGTTTAAAGAAAGATGGAAAGGATGAAGTCTCTGGTTAAACATGCTGTTGGAGTATGTTGTGGCCAATTTCTAAACTAGTTTGTATTCAACAAATAAATCAGGTTGTTCAGTAAACAGACTTTTAAAATTACTTAGCATTAGCTTGTGCCATACTCTGTTGCAAAATTTTAAAACCATTTCCTCTTCTGAATAACCACAACTTAACCATTTCTGATGAATTCGGACGGTTACAGTAAAAAAACTCCCTGACAAATCAACCTTTTAAACAAACTGAGTTTGGACTTTTCCTTATTAGGTTTGCTGACTGATTCCACAACGCTGCCAAGTAGCAGCAGATTTGTTAATACACTGTCTGGCTGGTGTTTTCTCTTCGGCATCTGGTCTGAATTTGGCCTTGTGTGTCATCACTCGTCAGTTGACAGGATGGCTCCTGGAAATAGTTGCATGGTTCTGTCAATGAAAAAAACTTGCAGGTTCTTTCAAACCTTGGCATCACTTCACACACCTTGCAGAACTGACTTTTTGATTGAGACATTTTATATATGTGTCTATAATGATTTATAAAATGTTGAAGAAATTATAGGAATTGAACCTGTCATGCATATCTTGTTAATGTTTGAAACCCAACTAGCCCCAATAATATATAATATATATTTTCTTTAGCACAGTGGTGTGGATCATATTTTTATTGATGTGTACCCAACAGACCTGAAGGGCCTGCAGTGAGTTCTGGTCCTTCAGGTAAATCCCAAAAATGTATAAAAATGTACTAATTTGCCTAAAAAAAGGAGTTATGCACTTTTTTATTCCTATAATACAGAAAACAGATCTTTAAAAAAAATCATGACATTTTTTAAAAAACTGCACTATGCTTTCTCCAACTATGTAGCATTATTGATTAAATATCTGTGATCAAACAAAGTGAAAACAAAGCTCTGTGGATGACTGCAGTGATTTGAGCAGAGCTTTGAAGGGGCTCACAGCAGTTGAGGTAAGTGGTGGAGGCCTTTGAGCTTAAACAGTGAGTGGGGAAAGAGCCATGCTGCCATACCACGGCATCAGGTTTCCTCATGTGGAAAAGCCAATGTAAGTGACCAAAAATGTGGTGGCAGACAGAGGACGGGATTAGGCACGCAGACTATCTTGTCAGCCCGTCAGTGGTGCCCCTTCATGCACATGCCATTACAGTCCTTCCTGTGAAAACCTCAGCGGTTTTGTACAAATGTGCATTCTTTAGAAACTCAGTTTAACTCACAGTTAATGTTTAAATTTCTTCCACCTTCTCTTCTTAATTGTTTTTTCTTTTTAGGTAGCTCTCCTACAGCTATTATTTTAAATACTACTTGTTCCAATGGTGGGGAATATTTGTGATTATATTATATGTTTGTGAACTAATAATAATAAAGTGTGCATAAAAGTCCATTATTCAGAATTAATAAAATGTGTAATGGCTCAATTGTTTTCAGATTAAGTTTTTACCAAGTATTCTCAAACTTGTTAAGGTCTATTTAAATTTTTCTTCATATAATCAAATTTGTAAATAGAGAGTTTCCAGGTTGATAATGACCTGTGGTTAAATCTGCAGTCATCTTGAGCTGTTGAAATCTTATGAGCCATGAACATGTACATGGTCACATGATTAGGAGTCAGTTATATATGAGATGCCCTCATCATTAGTTCAACCATGGGTCAGAAAAATATGATTTATTTTCAATATGAAGAGACAGCTGAATAGCAGCCAGACCTGAACAGCTGATGTATGTACACACTGGGACCAGTGCTGGGTCCTGGTTGTCATGGGCGACATCGTAAAATGTGGGGCTGAAACACAGCAGTCCCTGTGCAAGATGTGCAAGTCCAGTTTCACAAGACAATTGCAACATTCAGCTCTGACCTTAGC